AGGCACGGCTGGGAGGAACAGTCTGTTCTCTGCCCTGTATGAGGAGGGTGCAGAGGGGCCCAGCACAGCTCTGGGTGCCCACCCTGCCCTGTGTTTTGGAAGGGAGATGCTGCCCAAAAGCCCCAGCGTGGGCTGCAGGGGATTTCCTCATCCAAGGCCCCTCGCTGGCCCCCAGCTCACAGGCAGCTGTGTTTCCCCAGAGCAGTGCCCAGCCCAGGGTGGTGGCTGCCAGATCAGGCCCCGTGGCTCCGAGCCCAGGGAACTTTGGTGGGAAATGGCTGCAAAGACAATAAAAATGTTCTTGGAAGAACCCTGATGACACAACTTGCCTCTGCCTCCAAACCCCCAGCTACACAACCTCACCAGCCTGCTCTGGGCGTGAAGGGGATTGATTTAGGGCACTGCTGTCCCCCTTGCCTTGTTCATGGGTGCTGGAGGGAAGGGGGTAAGGAGGACACCCCAGAATCTATAGGCAGCTTCCCTGCAAAATCAGGGGCTTTAGAGCCTCCTTTCCCTGGGGGATTTGGGCTGCAGCGTTTGGAGGTTGCCCTCAGAGGCAGGGAGGTTCTGCCCCCCGGGTCGCAGCCCCGCTCCCCCCAGCCCTGACGTCTTTTCCCACGCTGTGCCCCACTGCTGCGTCACTCGGGGGACCCTCGTGCCCTGGCACAGGTTGCAGCGAGGTGCAGAGGTCAGGAGGCAGCAGCTCAGCCCGGGAGCCACAGCAATGAGAGCCTGGCAGGGAGCCACGGGACATAAATCCCCTTCCCGGGCATCCCGTGGGCTCTGCCTGCTTCACCCCAAGAAGTGAGGCTGGGGCTGCAGGATGGGTTCAAAGGAAAGGGGCCTTGTCAGCTGGGGAAGGTGGTGCCAGGGTGTGGGGCTGTGGGGCTCCAGAGTTTCCAGCTCCCCTTTGACCCACAGCCAAGGGGAGAGAAGTCTTCAGGAGCCCCGAGGAGCATTCTGTGCCCTGGGAGGGGTAGATGGACTCCTGGGGCAGCTGGGGGGCTGTGGGTACCAGGGGAAAGGCAACACCACCCCACCCCTGTCCCTCTGGGAGGATAAGAGCCCAAGGGAACGACCCCACAACCCCCTTGGAAGGGAAACCAAGGTGTAAACAGGCCAAACCAACTTACCCAAGCCCATCAGAGAGCCAAGAGGTGTTGCTTTGTGCTGGCCAGTGCAAGCCCTGAGGTTGGTCTGCCTCGCTGGCAGCACGGGGGCTCGAGGATGCCCCTTGGCACTGGGCACCTTCCCCTGGGCAAGGAAAAACCCCACAAGGCTTTTTCCAGCCCCCTCCACCAGTAGCAACCAGTGATGAGCAGCTGGGACATGGAAGCAGGGATGGAAAAACCTGACACAGGGGTTTAAATAACCTGCAAAGGGTGTGTTTGTGTAGGGGGGGGGTTGCAGGAACCAGGGGATGGGGAAGCAGCATTGATCCCTTGGCTCCAGGGGCTGTAACCAGGGCCAGGCTCCATAGGGAGGACATCAGGACCACGCTGATTTTACCCCCAGCCCTTCAGGAGCCTCAGACCTGCAGGGAGGATGCTCAGCTCTTCCCACACAGCCTTGAAGCATCAGGCTCTACCAGCCAAAGCAGCACTTAACCTGGATCTGCAAGGACTGAAGGCAACAGCCCATCAGGCAGGGCTGAGATTGCCCCACTCGGCTCATTCCCTGCTGCAGTTTGGGGTTTCCTACCTCTACACATCCCACAAGAAGCAGCTCGTCTGGAAATAGCAGGGGAATGCTCTCAAGTCGTTTCCCTGCCTGCTTTCAAGGAGCCAAATGATTGAGCTGAGAGTGAATTCAAGGCAAATGCTTTCCAGAGAGAAACAAATGTTCCCCTGCAAGACAAATGAGTTCCTCTCCAGCGCTGGGCTGAGCAAGCACGTTTCTTAAAATAAAATTTGAAATATTAAGTACTTTGCTCTCTAAATGGAATCATTAGGAAGTCTTACTGAATAGCCTGATTTCTGGAGAGACCTTTTAAAGCAGCCAAGAAAAGGTAGGTGCTTTTCTGTCCTTCCCACACATTTTATGTGCTTTTTTAGTCCGTGAGTTTGTCGCTTGTAAAAACACACAAGGCTTATGAGGAGCCTCGTTCCAGATGACCAAAAAGCTCAAGCCTAAAAGCAACTTTTGGGAAGGACTTGGAGGAGGCTCTAGATGGCACCGACATGGGGGGAATTGGGCAGTTTTGACGTCAGCAGAACCAAGTGTTTGCTTAACACCAAACCGCTCTGGCAGGGGCCATTGAAATCCCAGTTTACTGAACCAGAGGGAAAAGCTTCCCCTGCAATAAGCTTCAGAATTGTAGGCTGGGGGGAGCAGCTCCAGCTCCCTGATGTTCCCTGGGAGCATCTCTCCCTGCCATCCTGGGATAATGCTCCATCCTGGCTGGATTTTCCCAGCAGGATGAAGTGACAGCACTTTACAACACCCAGGGCACACACTCGCCCATCCACACTCGCTGCCACCAGGATGGGGGCACTGAACTGTGGGAATTGCCTTATCCTGCACATGATGGCTCTAGGGCTGTTCATCTTCTGGTGAAGCCCTAAGGAGAAGTTGCTCTGCAGCCCAAGGGTGAGTTTTCAGCTGGGGTGAAGCAAAGAGGGATCACAAATAGGTGTCAGGGAGGCTGGAGCCCTCACTCACCTGCACGATGCCCAAGCCCACGCTTCTTCTCCCCTCCCTCCTCTGCAGGCAGCTGCCCAGCTCTTGCTCTGCTCCAAACCCCTCCATTTTTACCTCAAAGCTGGCCCTGATACCAGCAGAGCAGGACCCACTTCCTCCATCCTCCTCCTCACAGCCAAGCTGATCCCAGGAAGCTGGTAACTCTTTTCTCCCCCTTCTCAAGAGCCTTCAGCTGCATCTGCACACCTTCAAAACCAGCAGCACGGGAGCAGCTTCCCCTGAGCCAGACCCTTGGGGTACAAACCAACCCCACAGAGCTTTGGGGGGGCTGCCCTGATTTATAGCTCATCCTCTGTGAGCCCAGACTCAGCCTGGCTGCTGGGGCTGGGTTTTGGGTGCTCGAAGGAGTGACCCCAGCTCTGCTTTCCCCCCCCCCGTGCAAACCTGGGCACCGGTGCAGTAGCTGCTAATTGCCAGCAGCCACCAGCTCCAGCAGCCTGGGCTTCAATCAAGAGGGAACAGGTTTAACTCAAACTCATTAATTAATTCACAGAGTTAAGGAGGGTATCTGCACAGGGACCAGCTTTGATGTGATTGCCTTGGGTTAATTAAACTCCTGCTTGCACCCAGCTTCCCAAGTGCTCACAGAAACCTGGCTCGCATCCATCTTGTGTCTGGTGGCACAGACCTGCTGAGTTATCCAACCAGTTCTCCAGCAGTGCTGGCTGAGCTCCTGGGGAGAGGAGTTTCTGCAGCCTGAACAAAACAACTCCTTTAAAATCCTCTGAGGTTCAGGTAGGAGAGCTCTGTGCTCTCCTCAGCTCCTGCCTGCTGGGAAGGTTCCCCCCTGAGAGCAGCCAGCCTGTCACACCAAGGGGTGCTCGTCCCCCAGCTGCACTGTCAGGGGCTTTGTCTTTGTGTCCACAGCAGAATAAGCTAAGGAAGAAATGTTCTACACTGAGGGTGGTGAGCCCCTGGCCCAGGCTGCCCAGAGAGGTGGTCGCTGCCCCATCCCTGGAACCATCCCAGGGGAGGTTGGCCGGGACTCTGAGCACCCTGCTCTAGCTGGGGATGTCCCTGCTCCCTGCAGGGGGTTGGACTAGGTGACCTTGAAAGGTCCCTTCCCACCCAAACCACTCTGATTCCATGATCTCAGCAGGCTCCCCCGGAGTGGTGCAGATGTCTGGGTCATGGGTAGGCAGCTGGCCCCTCCCCGGGCACCCATGCTGGTGTTGGGGATGGGGGTCAGGTACTGGAGATGTTTCCCTGGCTCAGCCCCCAGCAGAGCTGTCCCAGAGCCCATCCCTGCTGTAGCTCCACCCTGCCAGCCCCAGCCAGCAGGTCCAGCTCTGCTCCATCCCATAGGAAACTGGTCCATGGGAAATGTGAGTCCTGACCCAGAATGCTCAGAGCTATCAACACCCTAACCCCCATGGGTTTGCTCCAGCCCCTGCTCCCACCCCAGCACCCCTCAATTCAATAACCCCAGATGCCATTTGCTTTTTCATGGGGGCAGGGGGTAATTTCCTCTCCTCCAAACAGGTCATGAAATGTTCCTGTGGTTTAACGGGTGTTTTCCTAACCCCTCCTGCCCTCTCCTGCCACTTCCTGGGCTCTGCTCTCCACAGCCCCTGTTCCCCTGGGATGCATGGGAAGGGAATGCCACGGCCACTGCCTGCCAGCCAGGGCTGCCCGAGCTGGCTGGGGCTTGTGGCCACCAGAAGGTCCCTGTGCCAGCTCCAGTTGTGGCCATGGGGAGGGCCCCGGGGCCCCTGCAGGCACCGCCCA